TGGGAACCTGAAAATATTTATGACCTTCAAGAGTAGGTTTTGCTATAGGTCTTCCTATATCTGAATGTATCAACTCACCAATTTCTAAAAATTTCTTTATACAATTATAAAATGGCTTACGAGTACTTTTGCCTTCTATACAGCTTTTACAAATTTCATTACTATAAGGCAACTCTAATATTTTTTAACTGTTTCTATTAATATGCCCTAACCTTAATATGCTGTGTAAATGAATTCATTTTTCTCAATACAATTATGTTTGAATTTAACGTTTACAATGAATAAATCATTAATTGTGTTACAATAGAATATAGATTCATTACTAGTTACTAAAATTGCTTGTTTTTTACTCAATTTGTCTTTATCAAGAGTTACTCTGGAATTTTCTTGTATTAGTTTTGACACAGAGAGTAAATTATGAAACATTCCTTCTACTATTGAAGCTTGAATTGTGATATATTTACCTTGACAAATTGCTTTAACTTTGCCTTGTTTTGTTGCATACAATAATTGATTAATCTTTGCTGTTCCTATCTCAACTTGTTTTTCTGAAACTGTAATGTTTGTCATAAACTTTTCTAGTTCTCCTCTTATCATATGTTGCGTGCATCCAGAATCCAGAACAAAACCATTATGTCTTATCGTTCCCAAAGTGCTACTTGAAGCAATGAAAGCTATCTCTTCAGCTTCCTGAGCATGACTTTGTTGACTTTGAAATTGACCTGCATCTTGATATGTTTGCCCTCTGAAGTTATATCTGCCTCTTCCGCTACTGTGACTGTTTCTACCTCTTCCACCTCTGCTTGCACCTCTAATACTCGAGTTTCTGCAGTCTGGAAACTTGTGTCCCTGGTTGCCACATGAATAGCAAGTATATATTGGAACATGAGCTTTTGCTCTAAATGATACTTCTATGTTGTTGTCTTTTCTCTGTTTTGTTTTTGCTTCCAGTTCTTCATCTAATAATCGAGACTTCACGAACTCCATAGTTACCTTTGAATTTATTGTTTCGATTGCTGTTATGACAGCCTCGTAGTCTTCATTTAATGTAGCTGAAACACACCTTCGAGAGCCTTCATCATTTCTTTTGCACTTTTTGAGTCTTTTATTATATCTAAGTGCTTATCTGTTACGTACTGCACGATGATGGATTTGGCTTCTGCATCTCTGAGTTTGAATTCCTCTTTTTTCTTGTCTTCAGTGAAGTTATCAACTTCCTTCTCTAATGTGTCTTATAATTGCTTTTCTTCGAGGATTGCTTGTACTCTAAGCTCCAGTTATTAAAGTTGTCAGAGTTTAACTGTGGTATTGCGATTGTATTCATTTTATCTTCAGATTTCCTTTTCTTCAAGAAAAAATTCAACGTGGCTAACCTCAAAATATTTCTTATATTTCACAATGTTTTTTTTCAATAATTTATTCTGAGTTTCTGCATGTTCTGGGTCCATAACCTGATGAGATTAATGCATTTCTGTATTGCATTTATCCACATTAAATACATTTTGTAATTAACACAACCATCGTTTATTATACGTATAAACCGAGTACAAAGGAACATAATATATAGGTATTAGAACCCCGGGTAAATTTTCGTTATGTGGACACCCGGCGATTTTGAAAAAATTTTTGACTGTACTTACGTATTTTGATGCGTAGATTACGAATCCGAAAAAAAAGCGGCGCTCTCCCTTATTTAAAAAGTTACGGCCCTTCAAAGTTCAGAAAAGGGCAACTTTTCAGCCTTCTTTTTCACTAAATAAACTATTTAAAAACACAAGCATGTATTCACTAGGTCACCTCTACACCTTATTCCTCCTTCTTTAACACTTTTCACTTCAATAATCAACAGCGCCCCTTTTCACTTCAATAATCAAAAGCGCCCCTTTTTTCTTTCGGATTCGTAATCTACGCATCAAAATACGTAAGTACAGTCAAAAATTTTTTCAAAATCGCCGGGTGTCCACATAACGAAAATTTACCGAATAATTTTACTAACGCTGAAATAGCTGATATACACTTTATTTTAAAATGTGTTCTGAAAATTAATGATACAATCTTGAAGTTCATAAACCTGTGTATCAAACTCATTGAATGCATCTTTACGCTCATTGGGGATATAGCTCAGTGGTAGAGCATTCGACTGCAGATCGAGAGGTCCCCGGTTCAAACCCGGGTGTCCCCTTTTTTTTTAATTCGTTGGAATTATTTCATCTAATGTGATGATACAGTGTGAACAACATAATGCGATTGAAATTTTCCTACTAAGAGCTTCAAGGTTTCAAAAATTTATTTCAATTTCGTCAACTTATTAGATGACGGCTAATAACATTCTGATTTTGTCCAAACATTTCTAATATATTTGATATGCTATGTCAAAGCTATCTTTCGGGTTTGTTGGCCGTGGATCTTAGGTTTTTGAGGCTGATGTTTCGTCCACGAATGCGATCGACATTATCAAAGGCAATGAGGTAACTAACGCAGTGTCCTCGTGTTGTAGTGGTAGTGAAATGCGAGTATATTGAAACCAGTAAAGTTTTCGGAATGGGCAATTTCCAAAATGCCAATTTTGAAATTCAAAATGATCAAAAGGGTATCTGATGATTTTCAAATAACTCTAAGCCCATTCACGGAAGCCGTCACTTAGCTCTACCGATAATAAATGGTTTGTTTTCTCAGTTAAAAAGTGGGGACGAAGCTTATCAATTACTGACACATTCAACGCAGGTTGTTTGGCTATACACAGTTATTCGAAAATATTTTCAGGGTTGTGGTATTTATTGATGATATTTCAATATCTGGAGTGAAATAATCTGATCATTCAAGAAATTCAGAATTGTTAGAGAAAATGCTTTGAGTACAAAAAGAAAAATGTGTATTTTTCCAAAGTGAAACTGAGAATTTGTGGCATGTATTTGATAAACTAGGTCGGCGCAAATAAGAAAAACCATTTTTATGATGGTTATATTGTATAAGAAATTCTTACAAAATTTCGCTTGAATTTTGCACCAACTGTAAGTGAGTCAGAATAAGACCGACAAACTCCGACTACAGATTCCTCACCTCATTTTAAGATGGAAAGTTTTTATAAATGTATGTCCTAAAATGCATCTCCTCTGAGATACAGGGTGTCAAAAGTACGAAAAAATTTAGATTTTTTTTTCTCTAAAACTCCTGGAGAAAAATGTTTCAAGTTTGTTGCACTAATCTAGATCTATCATAGTGATAATCATAAGTTAGTATTTTTGATTTTCCCGAACCAGTGGCGTAGTTACGATGGTATGTGGTCATATTTTCCCCCATATTATTTTTCGACAACTGAATTGACAAATGAGTGTTCGACATCAGTTAGGCCCATCGATACTCAACCTAAAATTGAGGATTCTGAGATATTTGCGAAAAATTGAAGATATGTCCTGAGAAGAGACATCCTGTGTGCAATTATTGCATGATGCAACTTCCTTATAACATAGGAATAATTGTCAACCTCATGAACATGTTTTAAAGTTGGGAGTATTATAGATAAGTCAGAATGAGACCAACAAACTCCTTTTTTTTCGTCATTATTTCAACGAATCGATTTCGTTAATTCATCGATATGTGACCATACATTTTTGCATAATAATTATTTCGAAACATCAACTGACAAACCCAGACCCAAATTGTAATATTCCTATTAGATGAGAGTTGAAGCATAAAATAATATTTGCAAAAAACCGAAAACAGGTACTTTCAATTTGTTAAATTTCATGTTGGAGTATCAACATTAAAGTCGTTCATACTGAACTGTCTAGGAAAATATTTTCCAATTACCATGTTTTTCGTGAAGAAAAACAATAATTGTGTATTTATATCCACTCAAATGACAGAAAGGATTTTCAGGGTACACTACATAGAAAAAAAAAGGTTTAAAGTAAATGTTCAAACGAACCACAATTTTGTTCGATACACAATTGGAATCTCCGTACCATCGACTGTCGCACGCTTTGGAATATTCTTGGTGTATTATCTTATCTTCAAAGATTCTACAAGTGTCAAATATACCAACGATTCAAGATATCCCCACAACAAAAATCTGGTGGTGTTCAATCCGGAGTGCAGGCCATATACTGGCCTGCACGTCTACACCACTACGTCTACCTATCCACCGATCATGGAATGTTTCATGAAGAAATTGACGAATGATTTGTTGAAAATGGGCCGACGCTCCGTCATATAATTTTCGATTAACTGATTAGAAAAGGCTTCAAAATTGATACTCCAACATAAAATTCAACAAATCTAGAGTACTTATTTTCTGTCTTCTTATTTGAGTTGAGTATTATGAATTTGAAGCTGGGTTTGTTGTTCATTTGATACGTAAGAACAAACATATGCAAGAAAGTATGTTAACATATCGTCTACATTGAAAAATGTTCTGAGAGTTGACAAGTATTCCGATATGTTGTAAGAAAGTAGCATTATGCGATTATTGCACATATGAAATAAGGATTATACTAATTTTTCCTCAGTTATCTCAGAAACGTATGTTAAACGCTCATTTATTAATTCAGTTGTCCAAAGAAAATTCGTTCATATAATATAACGAAAAAAAAATGGAGTTTGTCGGTCTCATTCTGAGTTACTTGTACTATGTTATGGATACTTCCAACATTAAGGAATGTTCATGAGGTTGATAATTATTCCCATGTTATAAGAAAGTTACATCATGCGATATTGCACACAGAATGTTATGTCTCTTCTCACGACATACCTTCAGTTTTTCGCATATATCTCAGAAACCTTCACTTTTAGGCAAATATAATGTTTCGACTTTTAGGTTGAGTATCGATGAGCCTAACTGATGTCAAACACTCATTCGTCAATTCAGTTGTCTAAAAAAAATATGACCACATACCATCTTAACTACGCCACTAGTTTACGAAAATTAAAAATTATAACGTTTCAGAGACAAAAAAATATAAATTTATTTTCACTCCCATTCATCAATTTTCAATATTTACCTTAGACTAGAAGGATCACCTTCGGCAAAATTGTGCACATCCCTGTATTCTTGTGCATCTCTCGTTAAAGTAAGTCCATCAACCAGATCAAACTCGGGACTGCTATCCAAACTTTGTAGTTGGGTGATTGCTCCTACCCCTAAGCAATGTCCCAAATTGCCGGGGGCCTGCGATATCAAACACTGCCTAAAAGTATCTCCAATCGACCCGCTTTGAGAAACAATTGAACCGTCTATTGAAACGAAAAGCTGGAGGGCTGACAAACTGTACACCAGACGCATATTTACAAATTTACACCTGGCAAAGTTCCTGTGATTGTTTTATATACTTGACATGATTCAGTGCTTCAGGAGTTGGTAGTGAAAGTGCTCTTGTTAATGATGTGTTTTTCGAATTATTACATCTTTTGTTTCGTTGGGAATGCTTTGTTCACCAGTTGATTACTACGTAAAATGTGAATTTTTATAGGGAGAATATTGCTCTTGTTTTTTTTTTCATTGATTATGTTACATTGAACACAGACAAATATAGAGTTGATGATTCAAAAACGTTTTACCAAAGAGAAATACCAGTTTTTGACTAGATTAGAATTCAAGTAAAAGCGTCATTATTTTATTTGATTATAAAAGAACCATTCCTTAGATTTGGAGCATGCTCATCAAATTTTTTCCACAAGAGTGAGTAGATACAATTAGATATAATAAATTGATAATAGAAGTGAACTGCTTGCAATGACAAATTAATAATGCTGCTAATGGAAAATACCTTGATAGGTTTATGAAATACTGTCAAAAGACTGCGTCATACCCAAACCTTCACAAATGTTATTTTATTACATTCCGTCAAATTAATCCATCACAATTTGGCTATAAATGAGGAAACCGTTGTCTTCAAACATGTAGCGAAAAAAAGGATTTGGGAATATTCGACTATAAATTGATTTTCGATAAGAACATATCTTATGCGAGATAACTGAAAAGGTTTCATCAGAAGGGCAAGTTATCCTTCCAAAAATCCCAATCCAATACGAATGAATGGCCAGAGATTTTGAAGTCCGGCCAGCAGAAAAAGGTAACTGCCTCCAATAGAACTCCTTGTGCATTTTAGATGACTTACTCACTTGGAAATGAAAATCCAGGATAGAAGAATATATAAATTTCAGATAATACTTCTTAAGACGTGAATCCTGACTACACTCAGACGATCGCACTGAAGGACATTTTGGAGTTGATAGATTTCTTGCGATGGTGCATAAGAGGTATTGTTCGGACTAGTCAGTCCTGTGAACTCCTTTGAATTAAAGTTGAAATAAACCAGAAATCACAACGTTTCAAGTCAATATCTTTATTTTATAACTTTTCAAATTATTGTCAATGTCAAATTCTTCTTTTTTATAGAAAAAACCAGAAAAAAACAATTATTTCAACATACTGAGTGAACAAAATTGATTCAAAGCAACAACATTCTTCCCCTCGTGATAAAATCACTGCATTTGACATATTATTCTTCAATTCATTTCCGTTGAGAATCTGTACCACTGATCAATTCACAGATCTTTGTAACTGGCCATTTATAGGTTTCTGATTTTGTTTTGACGTCCACAACTCTAATCTTATCGTCCTTTTTCCTATAAACATTTACAATTTTACCAAGTGGCTACAAATTCCTTTGTTATGTGTCGTCAATGAAGAGTACCACGTCGTCCTCTGATAAGTCGTCCCCTTTCTCATACCACTTCATTTGTTTATACAGTGTAAGTGAATATTCTTTTCGCCATCTTCTCCAAAAAATGATTTGGCGTAAGGCTTTCGGGCTCCGATGGATCATTTGAAATGTATGATAAAGTTCTGCTATTTATCATATTCTCCGCCTCCGTAATCAGGGTGATAGGCACTTCTTCTTTGGGGTGTCTATCTTTCATTGTAATGCTCAGAACATTTTTCACCGACCTCACCAACCTCTTTCAGCTCCCTTCTATATGTGGATATGCTGGTGGAATGAATTTCCATGTAATGTTCTTGAGGCAAAAAAAAAATCAAAATTTCAGTATCGTCCATGTCCTTGACAGCTTCTCTTAATTCTCTATTGGTAGAAGGCATGTTCGTACCGTTTTCTGAGTAAATTTTTCTCGGACATCCACGTCGACTTTTGAATCTTCTGATCGTCATGATAGCGGAGTCTCTATTTAACGAATTTGCTATTTTTAGATAAATCGCTCGTACGCTCATACAGGTAAATAGTACTACATAGCGTTTTTCATATTTCCTGCCAACTGTTATGAAAACCGGCCCAAAGTAGTCCATTCCAGTGATAGTAAATAGCCTGACTAGAACCTTGAAGACGACACTCCGATAACTCACCCATTTCAGGTACGTGGGGTTGTATTTTTCTTTTCTTGCAGGAAAAACAAGAACTTTTGCATTTTCGGACACCACTTCTCATTTTAAAATCAAAAATTTTTGACGCAGCTCATTCATTACAATTTCCTGTCCCTGGTGTCCAAATTTTATATGATAGCTCTCAATAAGAAGTTTCGTGAAACGGTGTTTTGGATCAAGAATCGCTGGATGTTTTTGAAAATTGTTCAAGCTTTATTCGCAAAATACCTTTTTTGTCAAGTATTGGCATGAGCGTATATATTCGGCTTGATTTTTCAACAGGTTTCCCATTGCGCAGAACCGAAATTTCTTAAAAGAAGCTGACTTCCTGACTATACTTTATCAGAGCTTCCTCAGCAATATCTAACTCTTTCGCATCTGAATTCATTGTATTCCTCGTACCCTTTCTACAATTTTTTATGAAGCGAAACATCCAGGCAGTTGTTCTTACTAACCTTTCATATTTGGAGAATCTTTCAATAATTGGCAGATAAATGTCTTGTGATGTAACTGTCATTATTTTCTCTTTCAATTTCTTCTATTTCTTCTTGTGTCTCTTTTGTCCAGTAATATCAGAAAGTTTTAGAAGGTTCAGCCATTCGTTTTTGTTCGCAGTATTATCTTCTCTGGTACTTTCATCTGCTATATTCTCATCTCCAGGCACCCAATGCCAGTCAGATATATTAGTGATGTCTGTAATTTCCGCAATCCTTAACGATACAAAGTTTTGTATCTTTTAGATTTGGAACGAATCCAGTGCAAGAAAATTCTTTAGTTTGTCCATAAATGAGTTGAAGTAATATGTATTTCAATGTTATTTTTGAGAGTGTTCATGCTCAACATAACCGCGGCTTGTAACTCCAATCTGGGTATGCTCATCGGTTTTATAGGTGCCACTCTTGATTGAGCACTTACAAAAAATAATTTGAATTTTTCATCGCATTCAAATCTCAGACAAACGGCAGCTGAAAAAGCTTTCTCACTGCTGTCACAAAAACCATGTAGTACAACTCGTTTGCTTTCATACAAACCGATTCCATAGCATCTAGGTAAACTCGTTTCATTAATTTTTGTCAATTCGTCCAGGAGTTGTTTCCATCTTGTGTTCATTTCCGGAGATAACTCATCGTCCCAGCCTATTCTAATTCTCCATAAGTATTGCAAGAAAATTTTGAATTTTACGACCAGTGGGGACAGAAAACCTAACGGGTCAAATGCAGACATGACCACTTTCAAAACATCTCGTTTCGTGGGAATCTTGGTTCTGTTCAAGATTTTTGAGTCCAATTTTCGATGGTTCAGCGGAAAAGTAAGTCTGTCTGCTTCAGGATTCCAGCAGAGTTCTAATACTTTCTCAGGTTTTTGAGTAGTAGTGCTGGAATTTTTTTGCTTTGGTAATTGAAGATTCACAGGATTCACTTCCTGAGAATTACTTATCCAATCATGTATTTCAAATCCCACTTTCTCATGGAGTTTTATAATTTCCAGAGTCAGTTGAATTGCTTCTTCTTCTGTTTCTGCACTATCCAGATAGTCATCTACATAATGTTTGTCGATTATTGCCCTGGCTGCTTCTGGAAATTTTGAAGAGAATTTTTCAGCGTTTCTATATTTAACTAATTGTGCCATCGAGGGAGAAGAAGTTGCTCCAAATGTCATTGCATTCTATTCATAAATATCAGGTTTTCTAGACCTATCCATTTTTCGCAAAAAAGCGCTATTAGGCTGAGCAGCATGTCTCGATTATCTGAGCAAAATGCGATTTTCATCTGTCGAAATTTTCAAAAAATTGATGTCATGTTTTGTAATAAGTCTGAACTTTGTAAAAGTTCGCTGCATCGAAGACCATCCTCAATTTTCCCGTTTTAGAGGGGTTAGTTACCCCAGAGTGGAGTAAATACCAGGTTCTAAGACCACCTTTTTCTGCTTCAGAAATATCAAGCTTCTGAATGTAATCTTTCTTCAAATATATTTCAATTTCCTCGCCATAATCTTTCGTGAAACCTATATTCCTGTCCATTTTTCCCTCCATACATTTCAACTTGAGTCATCAGTCCGACATCTTCATTTGAGTTTGAACAAGAATTTGTGGCTTCATTTTCTTTTTCGTAAAATCAAGATTATGTAATATGTCGTTGTGGAATTTGGGACAATTTTCAATTCCACACTTTTCTTTCAAGCTACATGAGTGGATATTATGATCTGGTTTCAAACAGTGAAAAGTTTCTTGAAAGTCACAATTTTCCATTTTTCCTCGATATCCAGTTGTTTGAAATTTTAGCAGTCAGTCAATTTATGATTTTTTTGACATTTGGGGCATTTCTCATATTTTTTGGTCGAAAATATATCAGCATTTTTCCTGGAGTGGAATTTCTCATTTTCGTTCATTTTTCTTTCGGAGAAGTGGTAACTACTGAAGTCAGCACAACTTGATGCAGCTATTGCGATTTTTATCATCCACACAGAAAAGGTTTTCAAAGTAATTTCATTCTATAAAGAAGATTCCTGGGCCCATTTGAGTCTCAGGAATGGGGGTAATTTATTATCTATTTCATTCAAGATAGATGGATTTTTCCTATGTCCTGTATTTTCAAAGAGTTCCATAGTAGTTACTGAGTTTTCGATAACATTAGAAAATGGTAATCATGTTTCAAACCGTCTCTCCCTCGGAGGAGAGGCTCGAAATTATAAATTCAGCTCGTCCAAATGTAACTTTCAAACTTTCTATTATGTTCATAATATTATTTGGTACATTGCATTTCTAGCGCATCCCTTTAAACATCTTTTTAGACGGATTATATTTTCATCTTCACTTATATCAAAACGTTTGGTAGAACGTTCGAACTGCAAAAATCGGCAAATTTGTTTTAACATTGTCTGTTTTTTTCGAACAGTTTGTTTTAT